TTTCACTCTTCTATTCTACTCTTCTATTTCACTCTTCGATTCCACTCTTCTATTCTACTCTTCTATTCCACTCTTCTATTCCACGCTTCTATTCCACTATTCTATTCCACTCTTCTATTCTACTCTTCTATTCCACTCTTCTATTCCACTCTTCTATTCTACTCTTCTATTCCACTCTTCTATTCCACTCTTCCTTTCTACTCTTCTATTCCACTCTTCTATTCCACTCTTCCTTTCTACTCTTCTATTCCACTCTTCTATTCCACTCTTCTATTCTACTGTTCTATTCCACTCTTCTATTCTACTCTTCTATTCTACTCTTCTATTCCACTCTCGTCCTTATCGTCTCTTTTCTGTCTTCCTTCTCCTTTTCATTTTTTTATTTCAGTTACTGATATTACATATATATATATTGTTCCAACTTTTATAGCATAATCACACATCTCTCTTTTATTTCGCTCATCGGTATCCTTTATTCGTTTCTCTCTATCCTCCAGCTCTCCCTCTCTCTCTCTCCCTTCTCTCCTGCCCCTCTTCCATAGCCCCTCTGTTCTCTGTCTCCCTTGACAACCGTGATCTGAAGACTTACATAAGGACAGAACAACTCAGTTAGAGGGGAGAGGGAGAAGGAGAAGGAGAAAGGGAGAGAGGGAGGGAGAAAGGGAGGAAGGGAGAGAGGGAGGGGGAGAGGGAGGGAGAGGGAAGGCTCCGACATGGCTGGGAGGCATGCAAGCAGACATGTTCTTCTAGACACTTGAAAAGAAGAGCGAGAGTGAAATACACAGGAGGAAAATATGCAAAGAGAGAGAAAATATAGAAAATGAGAGAGAGCGAACGAGAAGGACAGAAAGAGAGAGAGAGAGAGAGAGGGGGGGAGTGTTATTTGAATGTGGTCAGCGGCTGCAAAACAACCCAAACAGAACAGACACAGATGTATTTGGCAGACAGACAGACAGAGCAACCGACAGACAAACAAAAAGACAGACAGGTCGATAGACAGAGCGACAGACAGATAATAGAAGGACAGACAGACAGACAGACAGACAGACAGACACAGGGAAAACAGAGATCACATAAATGGATGAGTGATGCCAGTGCTGAGTGATGCCAGTACTGAGTGATGCCAGTTCGGGGTGATGCATAGCTAGATACTGTATGGAGACAGAGAAGAGAGAGAATGATCAGTTTAAATCAGGAATGAAATCCTGTGTAGACACTGGCCAATATCAGAACTGTATCTATGGAGAATTAATGATTAACAGCACTAGTACTGCTGATGGCTCATGATCACTTCCTGTTTTAGGGGCCTGGAGTTTTTCCTATTATCTTTTTTAGAGTGAGTTTTCCGTATCCCAGGAGACAAATTTAACTGAAATACCACTGACGCTGCATTAGACAAATGGGAAAGAGTTTTGAGCTGGGTGGTGAAAAGTAGGTGAAGATTCTTTAAGGAACGGAAGGTGCAATGTTTGAACTGGTTTGAGCACACAAGCATACACGCACAGACACACAAACAGAACTCCGGGGAGTGTATATATTCCACAGATTATGACAGGATCCTGCCGTCCGCAGGGGTATAATCCCTCTCCCACTTCTCTCTCATTCTGTTAATCCCACTCCTTTCTCGTCTTTCAGAGCTCCTCTAAACCCTCGCTCCCTCGCTCCCTTGCTTCCTCCCACCGCTGTGGGGCTGTAATCTGGCTGTAGCGCTGGCTGTGCCACTAGGTCAGTGTGTCAGCTAGTACAGGAAACAGCTATTTTCCTCTCCTCCATCTCTATCTGCTCTACTTCTACTGCTCCCCCTTCTTCCTCCACCGCTCCTTCTCCTTCTTCACTTATTCCACCTCTTCTCTGCCTTCTTCCTATCCATCTCCCCCTTTTCCTCTTCTGTTCTTCTTCACCCCTCTCCTCCTTCCTTTCCTCAGCTCCTCTTCCTCTGCAGTCCTCCTCTCTTCCCTCTTTCCCTCTCTCTTTCCTCAGTGTTCCATGGTAAAGATTTATCAGATGGATGGGGTTCAGTCTGAGTTCAGTACGAACACAAACTCTCATCAATATACTACACACACACACACACACGCAAGCACGCACACACACACGCACGCACACACACACACGCACACACACGCACACACACACACACACCACCACACACACACACACACCACACACAACACACACACACCCCACCACACACACCACACACTCACATACACACACCACACACACCACACACTAACATACACACACCACACACACCACACACTCACATACACACACACACCACCCACACACACACCAACACACCACACCACACACACACACACACACCACCACACACACAACCACACCACACAACACACACACTCAGCACAACAACACACACACACACACCACACACCACACACACAACACCACACACACACAGCACCACCACACACTCACACACACACACACCACACCACATCACACACACACCCACACACACACACACACACACACACCACTCACCACACACACCACACACACACACACACTCACACACCAACTCAACATCACACACACACTCACTCACACACACACACCACACACACACCACACACACACACCCCACAACCACCCACCACACACCACACACACACACACACACACGCACACACGCACACACACACAGACACACAGACACACAGACACAGACACACACACACACACAAATACATCAATCCAAGTTCATTTGTGTTTCAGAGTAAAGAGCACATTGTCCCCACACTGCTACTCTCCTGAAAATAGTTTTTTTTGTTGCAAACATTATATGACAAAGGACAATGTTTTGATCCTTGGACTGGAGAGTTGGCATTGTGCTAACTCATCCAAGCTAATGGCCTTGCAGTGATTGCTTCATTATTACAGTTTTTTACAATCACTTTGGCACTAATTTCAGAACCTTGACGTCATTTTTCAAAACTCTAGACACAAAACTCAAAACGGTCATCACTTGTAACACAGGCTGTCCAATGTTCAAAACATTGCATTGTGCATTCATATCTTTAAAGAAATCTTGCACTTGCACAATCATTGGTTCAAAAAACAAATGTATTGTGAAATACCAATGAAACGTTAATTTAGATCACCCACACACAAGCAACCGATAGTTTCACTGTGTCATTGTTCGTACGATCATTAAATATTGTAGTACAAAATAGGTGATACATGTTTCATTATGGTACTACATGTAAATACATCCCTGTAAAAGTACTGCAGTAGTAGAGAGAATACTACAGACACAGTGGAATCATTGAACAAAATCTGAAATATATTGATGAAAAACATTACAGTACTGTAAAACATCAAATGCAGTGTTCCTCAACTTGCTTGCTTGTACTGTAAAAAGCAAAACATAGGAGTGATTACTGTACTTCTACATTTTCATCAACTCTGTCTTGTGGTTTTGGCCACAGGTTCTCATCTACATCACAATGGATGTTTTCATTAGCCAAACATCTTGGAAAAAACCTTTGGCCATGGCGAATCCAGGCCTGACACTGGTCTGCCGTGATGTCATTGCATGCGTCATCCATGGCCTGGAGAAGAGTGACTTGTTCATGAGGGCGCCTATCATAAACCTTCCATCTCCATGTGGAGAAAAATTCCTCAATCGGGTTTAGGAAAGGAGAGTATGGGGGTAAATACAGGGTGGTAAATTGTGCATGGGCCTGAAACCATGCTTGCACCATATGAGCATGGTGGAACCTGACATTATCCCACAAAATGACATAGGTCACGCCACCAGCTCTACAGGCCTGATCGAGCTCATCAAGGAAGGTTACAAGGGGACCATAGAAATGGTGTCTGATAAAGAATGATGATGAAATATTACATCCATAGATAACGTAGTCTAATTGGTTCATGCTCCATGCTAATTGGTGACAATGATTCTCGTTACTTTGAAACTTTCATGATCTAAACATGGAATATTGTTTGTCTGTTTCCATACACTATGCATTAGAGCAATGCACTTTTTCTTACGTTATCTTTTTGTTGAAATTACATCATGATAAGTGAATT